TGAGTGTACACCAACAAATGCTTTTAACTTGACAAACGAATCGAGCAATTTATTTTAAATTGGACGTAGTAGGAAAAAAAAGCAATTATATACAAAATTTAATGACATAATAATAACTTGTGTTAACAAATGTAACGCCATCAGCTAATCATTGGCGGTGTACATAACGTTATTTCGTTTGTCGTGTCATTTTCCGAATTGTGTAATAATATGAGAATATAATATTTAAAATTCAAATACTGACTTATGCCCTTCTCGGCTGTTATGGTTTATTACAATCAATAATTAGTATTCACGTTTGATAATTTATCGACCAGACACTATGTCGGACCGGACATTATTGTGTTACATTCTAATTATAAGAATAATTAACATCTAAACCGTTGGGTTAGGTTAGGCTAGGTTATTGTCGGAACAGTGACCGTGTTGTAATCGGCTAGGCCAGAGAAGGAGGCGATATTTGCATTGTATTTGCTAACATTTCAATTATAAACTGCCAAACTTATGTTAAAAATATATACTTTAGAAATAATTTACGCCCTTTCTCGCCCAGAACCTTGAACAATTGAGCCATCCGTTGAGATAATATTGACTGGCCCACGACAACCGTCTCACCCTGTATACTAAACGCTTAAGATTCGGATCCGGGATGCGTGAAAACGTTTTAGGAAAAATTCGAAATTAATTCAGCGTTCACAGACTTGGTCGGCCGAGGTTCGCGTGTAAGTGTATAATAATTATACGTGTAACGCAATTAAGCCGTTTACGTATGTATATATCAAATATACCTACCTATATTATACATCTTTAAAAAATGTTATCGTGACTTCTAGACGGTCGTGCGTGTTCGACCTATTGTTCTGGGCAACGATCGAATTAACATTAAAGATAATAGTATTGTTTTGTATTATAATAATAATTTCCAAAATTGATATAATACATAAAATTCGTTTCTTACACACAAGCTTCTTCTGTAGATCCGCTCGGGCAAGGCGACCTTAAATAATAATAATATTATAAAACGCAGGAAACGTTTTTTTTTTTTTTACCTCGTTTACACCACCTGCGAAGAATAGGTGGTTTGGTTCGGTTTAATTAATCCCCGTATTCATTCGGCCATTTCGTTTAATCCGTTAACGTCAGCCGTCAACCTAACCTAACCTAACCTCTCCGGGGGAGGAGGCGGGGGAGGCCGGGGGGTGTCACCGGTTACCCGTGAATTTAATATACAAATATACTAAATAATTATGACGTTATACGATTATTATTTTTCGGCATGTTTGTGTGTGTGCCCGTACGTCCGGCAACACGGTAATAGGTTAATACCTCTAATATAATCTCAATCTTGGACTTGGACGGCGCGGCGGCGCCTTATAAGTGTACTTACGCCTTCGAGATGTGTTATTGTGTGTGTGTGTGTGTGTGTGTTCGTGGTGGCAGCAAGTGTTATTATCGAGACCTCGGCACCTTATTATATTATTAGAAAAAAGTGATTATGTTATACATATATAGTTGTTGTTTTTTTTTTTTTTACTCGTTCGGCTGCTCGTCATCGCGTCTCGTTATGAAAAAAAAAAAAAAAAATCGACCGAACGGTTTTAAACAATCGGCCCCGTGCGTTACCCCGTTGTAAATAGTAATTATTATTATTATTATTATCGTGTACATGTGTGTATTGGGGACTTTGTATATACCTAGTAGTTTCTCTGTTGTGTCTTCTCGAGAGAGAGAGACCGACGTGATTCGGTGTGGGGGCCGCCGCGTGGGCTGTGCAGGCGCACAGGGCAATTAGGAGACCTCGGCGTGACGTAGCGGAAAAACACCGTCGCCGCCGTCGCCGCCGCCGCCGACGGTCGGTTAGGTCGTTATTATTATTATTATTATCGTTATTATCATTATCGTCATCGTGTGTCGAGTAGTCGAGGGGGTGGTCGGCGAGAACAAGTAGAAGAAGAAGAAATAAAACCGAGTACGAGACGTTGTATAGAGACGTACAGAGAACAAAATTAAGAAACGGTGCGAGGCGGTGGTTGTGGTGGTGGTGGTGGTGGCCGCCGCACGCGTCCGGACGTCTTGTCATCCGCACATTATGCTGCACACGGTGGTGACTTGGCGGAAAAACGGCCGCAGAAGAACTACACGGCTCTTGTTAATACTACGGTCGTGATTAGACGATTACCTTTGCCCCGCCGCCGGCCAGGTCCGGATAGTGAGTAATTTTCTTCTATATTGGGTTTCCACCTAAGAAGAAGACGGACGAGGTATAAGAAGGTACGGATATGGGTTGTGCGGAGCGAAATCGCGTGCGTCGTGCCCGGGTTGGAGAAAATCCGATTTATCGTTTTGTGTAATAAAACTTATATTATTATTATTATGATAATATTGTGTTTTGTCTCTCGCGTGTATGATTTATCGTCAACGGTGGTCGTCGAGCGCGCGTTCGCGACACGGTCTCTGGGATGTCAACGTCTCGGAGTCGCTAAGACAGAGACGGAGAGAGCGAGCAAGCAAAAAAAAAACCATCATAATAAAATAATATATTATAACCTACCTAACAGAGTATTTTGTGTGTGTGTGTGTATCGATAATCGTAACAACGACGATAAATATTATTATATTATTTTATATTATTTATCGCCGTAAGTATACACGCGGCCGTGTCTTACATTGACCAGATCTTTCTTATATTATACACACATTCACGTATTGCATGTACCTATTATATATACCTACCTACCTACCTACCTACATATAATATATATATATAAAATACAGTATAATATTGTACGTCGCCGGAGATCCGAACCATACGCTATTGGTTATTTTTTTATTATTATTAATCTAAGTCATGTGCATAAAGTAGAGAAAAGTAACGTTTAACCTGCGCTTTGAGGACAATCGCATAAATATGTACACTATGTTATAATATTATTATAGGTAAGCGCGTGTACATGTGACCGTCCGACGGGGTTGAACACTTAAAACAGACACGTGAAAATGTTTGCCTGTATTTTACAATGTTTTTTAACGTTTTTAATTCCCTAAATATGTGGACAAACGGTTTTAAACAACGTTACCGTTTGAATTGTATTGATTTTTTTATTAATCTGCTCGTTTGCCAAGACTCGTGTGAAGATTTTCAACTATGTTGTCAATGTTCTTTGGTATTATATTACTAGTAGCCGTCACTATATAATATTTGAACCGCTTGTCTATTACTATTTCAAAGAATCGGTTATACATATTATAATATTTAAAAATAATAATGTGTTATCGACGGGGGTCAATATTATTATTCAATGGGGCAACTCGTTGAGCTACTGTTAAATTCAAATCTTTACAAAGTCATAGCAAACGAACCGATTATTGAAAATTAAAAATTCAAACGACAATTTAATTTTTTCACTACCCATTTATCGACTTGAAACAATGGGTTCACGATGATGATAAAGTTTATAGTCTTATTGCGTATGAGAAATGGTGTTGACAATTTTCTGTATACTTAAAGTTCAAGTATAGGAAAATAATAATTTTAAAAATAATAATTTTCCTCCAGAAAACGAGTGTCTTACATCAGATGGATATGGCAATAACGATAATACATAAATCACCTCGTTTAAAATATATTTTTTTAATTTTGAAAAAACTAATTATAATAATTTCGTTGGCACTACTTTTATTAGCCACCTTATCAATTTCTAATCGGGTCTTCATCTTTTTCTGTAAACATAACCCCATATACAAGTGAGTCCAGTGAATCTTGTGACAAGGTACCTTCTCCTTGAGTATGATTTGACATGGGAATTTCAGTTTCCAGAAACCACATAATCCAGTATTCACTTTTTAAAAAAAAAATGATTTCACACAGCTCTATCAACTTTTAAAACTCAAACGGTAACAAATTTGCTGACAATTTTGACTGGTCATTAACAAGTTTTGGATAATTACTTTTAAAGTTATTTATAGGTGTATCTACCTATATCTACCTAGTTATTTATACCTATATCGAAATCCTTGAGTACCAAGGCATTGAAAATAATCGAGTTTTTAGTGTTACAAAAATAAAAAACATGCGTACACCGTCAAACCTGAAGTGAATTGCAAAATATAATATGTTTTATAATAGAACACACAACGTCGTTGTAATAATATAATATAATAATACATACATACATTAAACAAGCGAAACGAGATCTAAGTGTGCCGGTTTTTCACCAATATAGCATCACGAAAAACTAATTTTTCAAATATCAATAGCTGTATGGCCCATGACGTCGAGGACCAGTATCTCGATATTGTTTTCATTCACCCGTTTATAGGTATGTCGCAATCTTCAACGTTGTATCAATTAGATTTAAAAAACCAAAATTTTTATTTAAAAAAAAAAAAAATACCCGAAACTTAAGGTTTTCCAAGGAGTTGCATCCTAGATGCGTTCTGATAAAAAGTCACAAGACAACAAACGTTCAATAGATTTGACACTTTGATACGAGGTGCTTTTGGCGTTCAAGTGGAAGGCCAAGACGTGAGCCTTTTGCAAAGTGAAAACCGAGTAATGTTATTTCCGGTAATGAGCGCAGAAAAAAGCCTGTTCAAGCCCAGCTAGTGTTTTGTATTAACAAAAACAAAATAATCTGGTTGCCGCCAACTGTACCCACTCGAGGAACTTATATGGTCATTATTATTATTATTTTTTTTTTTTATAACAAGTCCTTTGAAATATTATTGTTGCATTGTTTGTGGGTTAGTCTGACTTTGACATGTTAATCAAAACGGATCCGGACAGATGTTCCCACGGGTGAAAATTATAGGTATATATTAATCCGATTTTATTTTATATCCGTATCCAACCGGCGCAGCATGGCTTAATATTATTGTTTTTTTGTTGTAATAATATAAGTGATTCATTTTTGTTTCGCCCTAAACATTACCAAAGTACAGCACATACACAATTGAGTAAAATAATTGTAATTAATTTATGTTCATTTTTTCTGTTACAGAGATCGTTTACGTTTATATTGCACGCCATGGACTACAACAACTACACGGGTGAGTGAATACATATTAATATATATAAATTTTTTTTTTTTTTGGGGGGGTAGTGGCCTCTAAGACCAAGTCTGAGTACTGGGCGCATCATCGTTGTATATACACCTGGACTTTTAGACATTGTGATATAGCTTAGTTTCATTTTCCCAAACCCTAGTTATAGCGGTTATTAACTAACCTTTTGTTTTTAGTCTGGTATCAATCTCTAATTTTATGTCAAAATTGTCATTAGTTATTATTGACACCAAGTAATCAAAGTGGGATATTCTCTTAAATGAAAATGCCATATCAGTAGCCACACATTGGCTCGATCAAAGTATTGAAAATTCGATCACTATTATGATAATATGTATATTATTTAAGCAAATTTATACCTTTTGAAAAATCTCTATTTAATTGTAATCTAATCTAAATAATAATTAACGTTAATAAAGTCCATCACCGTACACGATTAAATCGAGAATCTCCTAATTCTGCCGTTTTCTACTTTTATTCTTATCGGTAATTAACCTCTCGTCTATTATGTTGTATTCTGTTTTTATATTGGTTTGTAGACAGGGATTTTTCCTCAGTTTTTATGAGTTTCCACACAACACAACTTCTTCAAAGTTAGAAGGCTAACAGTTGTCTGGCCTAGCGCAAATCCTACGGTGACATTTATACATCTCTAGTAATTATCTTTGGAATTAAGTTAAAGAGAACGGGTGTTAGCTGTTGTGCTATGTAAGTGTACCTACACACATATTATCATATCTTTCGGTGGTGTGTGATGTCGTTATTGGCGTTGGTACACACGGGTAAAGCTCCACCTCCCCCCTACAAAAAAAAAACAAAAAGGGGCGTACTGACCGTAGTAGTAGTATGCCTAACTACTAATATGCTCGCTTAGTAATTATGTTATTTTTCGGTGTGTGTGTGTGTGTGTTATTAAATCGTCAATAGGGACGGCGACTCTGGGCTCTCGGCTTATTATATTACATTATATATTAAATATATATTATGTACGTGATGATGCCCGGGATAATAACGGCGGCGACACGACCCTCTCCGGCCGCATGCTCGTTTAATGAGAAATATATAGAGGCTCGTACCGCATCCTTTCGTCGCGGTAGTTACCGTGTGGTCGTCGCCGGTCGTCACGTCCAATACCATAATATACTTAAGGTGTATATATACCTATATATATACACCTACATATTATAGATGTTCACAATACTCCTTATAGTAGTGCTGTGCAATACAATTGTACGTTTTCGTTCCGATTTCCTCGTCCAATTCATTATTATTTCGTTCGGGCGTGTAGGAATGTTTTATATAATAATAATAATAATAATAATATATATATATAATTCGTCTTCTTCTTTCGGGGCTATCTTTTTTTTTTTCCAATACACCATCCGTACACGCCCGCGGGACGAACCGAATATTATATACACTTGTGACTTGTGTGTGTGTGCCGGTTGCAGTGACGACAACGACGACGATGATTCCCATTGTTGTGTCGTCATTAAAAAAAAAAAAAGGGGTTAGCTAAGGTGTTTAAAAATTCCACATTACGTTTTTTATTATTATTGTGTATACCGAATCGAATCGTTACCGCCTTGTTTTTTTTTACCATCACACACACATAATATATGTATTAAATCTTTCCGATATAAATTCGTATATGCGTTTTGATACGCTTGGCATACCTATAATCGTCATCTACCTTGGGTATAATACACAGGTACATACGTACCTATAAATACAAGTGTATATGTATATCTGTATGTGTGTCTGTCAAAAAATCATTTGTCCGTCGTCGCCTCTCCTTCCGCGCTTCTTACAACTGAAAAAAAAAATGTATAATCGAAATCATTTCTCAGAGGAAAACAAGAATGCCGCGCCACCGCCACTATAGGTGTCGTTTATTATTATCATTATCGTTATTACAATAATATCTAACAATATTAATAATATAAATCGAAATAAATACATCGGTGCACACATTGTGTAATCTTTTTGCAATAGATTATTCCAAAAGTAATATAATATTAAACGCGGTTAATTATTGGTTATAGTAATACGATGATGACGAACGTTGCGACACAGATCAAATAAAACCAAAAAGTGCACTCCATAATATAGTAAAACAATATATTTAAAAAAAACTCTAACGGTTTTTAACTTAACGCAGTAGGGCCAAATTAAAGTGCCGGAAATAATGTACACAATGTTCACAATAATAACGTAAAGTGATAAGAATTACTGATAGCAATTAGTCGGTTAACATTTCATTGACCACGCTGTAGAACAGAGCCGATAAGAAACACTGATAACGATGATTGATAGTGATAACAGGCCCCGGACACTGATAAAAATTAACACCGTAAAGATACTTATCACACGAAAACGCGTTGGCCATCTTCTAATAATTATAACATCATTACAGACGTTTGTTAGAATGTTTTTGGCCACACTGTAGAAACTTTCAATCCTTTTTTCTCTATTCGGACTTAACACACAAGTCGTTAAACGAGGCACCGTTTTAAGTTCTCCGCTTCGGACCAATCGTTAATTCACAATATTGCACGTTGGATTATCTGGTCAATCATATCCAAGTTGGAAATTAGTGTTGCATACAATGCCCAGATGTCTGGGCCGGTTCTTTTTTTTACATATCAATTATATATAAATATATAATAAGGTTAGGGTTACTACTTGCGGGGTAGGTATGTTTTTTTAATTTTTTAATTATAGCCTGCGGTACAAACGCGGACGAGTGTTCTAATTATTTGAGTCGTCGGATCCATTAGCCCGAGTCAATGGACCGAGATTTAAATCTCATTCATTATTATTATTACATAAACCCGACCGTTAATGACACAGTTACAGTGTTAGTTTTAATTAAAATCTAGTAGCGATAATTGTCGCCGAATGGGTGTTCTAATTGAATTTATTACCATCGACATACGAGAAGAACGGTTTTTTAGAATAAGCGTGTGTCGATTCCACGTCGTTGGTGTAACAGAAAAAAAAATTCTTATAAATATTTAATAGGAGAGAAGTTATAATAGGTATAAGTAGAGGACACGCCTCGTTAGGTTAGAGCTACAGCTTAAAACGTTGAAATATTAATCGGTTTTAGTCTCATAAATCTCTTATCGTCTGATTTCTCTATATCAGTATGTCTTATCAGATGACTCCCGCCATTCTGATCAGATTTGTTATCTGTTGATTTCTTCAACATTTTCACGACTGGACATTTCTTTTTCGTCTTACTCTTAGCCTAAATATTTTATTTTTGTAAAAATTAATGTAGGCATTTTGAAAAGCACCGATCTCCGTTAATGTAAGTTAGACTTACATCCTATACATAACCCCACTCGGCTGTAGTACTTTTGACACATAGGACGGCAGCTTTTTTTTATTTGACCCTTCAAGCCGGTTTGGCACCGCCGAGTTGAACTATAAGTTTTCCCTACACAATGGCCCTTAATGATTATTACTCTCCATAGTTTTATAGTGTCAAGGGTCACGGTTTTTGTAAAATCATCGCCTAATCTCCACCGTGGGGTTTCCGCGATTCGGGAATAGGGAAAACGGTTGTGGTGTTTTTTGTCTGGGGCTACTAAACTTCACATGTCCGGTCCGAGGATGATTGTGCGTTTATACTCTGGAGATAGGGTAGCTGCAAACGTGTGTGTGTGTGTGGATTAAACACAAAAGACCAATCGGTGAGCCGGAGTTAAATGAAAATTGCGGCGCAGAAGCAAATTAACCGAAAGCATCTCCAGTCATAATTGAACATTTTTACGACCGCCAACGCTTATTAGTTATTATTATTATTATTATTGTTTTTTTACAAATCGATCGTAACTCGTATTGTGTTTTTTTTTTTTTTTTTACCGCTATTCATCATTAATTCCATTACCGTTGTTGCGTTTTCACAGGAAGCCTGTCGGTCATCGAAGAGGCCACTTACTCGGGCATACTGTTGCCCGGCAACGAGTGGAAAGCCCTATCCCATCTGGGCCGCACCGCCCGAATGGCGTACCGGGTACGCGTGCAGTGCGACAGGTTCTACTACGGTCAGACTTGCACCAAGCTCTGCAAACCCCGGGACGACCGGTTCGGTCATTACACGTGTGGCGACACGGACGGCCGCAAGGAGTGCATACCCGGTTGGCAAGGCGAGAACTGCGACAAAGGTGAGTCCAAAGCAGTTTTAAATTACCCGTGAATCTTCCTGTCTCGCGAGAGAACGGTACTGCGCAGAAACCAACTCCCGTTTAGGCTTGCACATGCGTTTTGGTTTCTGCGCAGTATCGTTCCCGCGCGAGACACAGTGTTCACGAAAACACAGGTTAGAGGTGGACAACTTGAATGAAGTAATCAAGAAGGCGAGCGACAGTGTTACCACCGTGCCCAGTACCTAATTGTGAAACAATTTGCAAATATGTACTACAAAAATGTAATTCCGTTATTCCGGTCACACTGTAGCTCGCTCACTGGCTTACATAACAATATTTCACTTATTGCGACCCCTGGTATACAATCAGAGTTGTGCATTATTCGAATAAACCATGATCTATATAATCATTTGGATAACACATTATTCATATGAAGATTATTCGAATAACTCCAAACATCAATATTAGTTAGATAGCACAGGCTTCTGGAAATCTACCCTCCAACTTCTCAATTCCAAGACACTCCAATCCCAATCCAATTTAACATTCCAAGTATCCCAAATGGGTCCCCATCTCAAATCAAAAAGACAAATCCTCGATTACACCTATTTCACCCAATAACAAAATAACCATTTCCACACAAAACTCACTATGTATAAATGGCTTCTAAGACCTAACTGGCCTTGGAAATTTAAATTTGATATGGTGTATTCTGTCTGGTCTCGGAAGAAAGTATACCCAGCGTGTTTTTCCTTATATTTAACCGCATAAGAATATTTAGACCGTAGATAAAAACAAAGCAACGGACGGGACGTCATCTCGTATGGACGTAGCTCGCAGAGACAAAGGAAACAACAAATAGAGATTTACTGTGTCACACTGTTGATAAGACATAGAAAGTGCCAGCTATATGAGAAGTGGACGGGTCATGCGAACGCTTCTACCGTAAGGTTAGGTTAGGTTAGAAAATACTAGACAGTGTAGTACACACCATAGTAGTGGTTAGAGTATGGTTATAGTAAATCTTAAACGTAAGTTGTGTGTTGAAAATCAATAGACTATGGCATTTGCAAGTTGCATTGTGTTCGCAGTTAGGTTGATGATTCTTCTGTCTGTTATAAATTAGCAGATTTCAAACATTACGCTTCAGCGTGTAAGCTCGTGTCGAAAATTTGGGCACATTGCGATGGACTGCATAATCTTTCTAATAAGGCTTGAAGTATTTCGCTTACAAAGAAAATACAATATTATAGGAAGAACCCGGATAATTTCCAATGCAATTCTATTAGTTTAATAGATTTTCTTTTAATAGGATATATATTTTTTTTTTTTTAAAACGAGCCTAATTTTCCATAATTAATTTCATTCTAAGGTCTCCTCCATTCATAACGAATTTCACTGATGGTGTAATAATAATATGATAATGATGATGATGATGACATCGAGTACTGCACCAATACAACTAGTTCTTGGCATCTAATGGTATAGAACTTGTTTGCCAATTACTAATGTCATTAAAACGGGCCGATTTCGTGGGAACTGATGCGAGAAATTCGATAGTTGAAAGCCGGCGTACCTAACTACTATTTTGCATTAAATAAATTAACTAAACAACTCAAAAGTATATTCGCTAAGCAACTAGGAATTGCATTTAACTGTTAATTTATGAAGATTCGGTCGCTGAACTAGGTATTTTGGCGCGGACTCTGGCGAAGGACTACCGATCCGAAGGCTAAGATTTGGGGAATGGAGGAGAGGTTAGGAGAGGGAAACCGTCTAGTTTACCGTCTATTATAATTATTATCGGCGCACGACATATATTGGAAAAAATAACTATAATATATGGAAATTAAATTATTATAAAATCTTGCTGATAGTGTTGAAGGGGGCGGGGAGGGGGGAATCGAAATTCCCATGGAAAAGTAATTATAATAATATTTTCTACTCGTTTTGATACCGATTATATTTCATACCTATGCTGGTCTCCGTTTTTATATTCACACAACCGCGTGATCAAACCAGTTTTCTCGGTCAAAACGCATTGTCCGTATAGTATGTATATGTATATTATATTGACTGACTAGGTATATATACTTAACAGTGTGTAAAAAAAAAAAAAAAATATGCCAACACGGACGACAACACGTTTTGTGTGCACCAGGGCTACACCGTAGTATATAGCACTTGGGTGCTGCCGCGGCTACTTACTTGGGTTAAGCCTATAAGTGTAGAAATCGTGATTTATACACATATTATATGATACCGTTTGCTCGAGCGATCATTATAAAGGACTTCCTAAAAAAAAAAAAAAGTTTCCATCACGAAGCGGTACACCAATTATTTGGATTTGGATTTTGCCGCCATTCCAGGTTAGGTCGGGTCGGGTTAGGTAAGTTATAATATTATTGTATTCTCAGTGTTTGCTTTTTATTTCTGTCCACCTTTGTCGCCGCCATTAAATTGTGTCCCGCGGTAAGACCGTGTAAAAACTAAAAAATAACAATAACAATATCCGTTTCGAAAACAAGGGTAACCCCTTAAGTATATAATATTCTATAGACGTCGTAGCCATACCGTAAGACAGACGGGTGTGCTCGTCGTGTCCCGGTCGTCGTTACTTTATTTATTAGATTGACATTGATGTACTACCTTGACTACTACTGTTTGTGTGTGTGTGTGTGTGCCAATAATACTATCTCATTGTATAATGCCCATAATATTATAATATAGCCGGTAGCCACAATGCAGACTTAGGTATAATATAATAATGTGTACCTACCTATCGTTGCATACTATTATTATTATCATCCATCCACCTATAATAATAATAATAATAAATATAAGCACAGACCACTAGGCTCGTGCCTCGTCTCGAGTTTATCGTGCTCGGCATGTTTTTATTTTTTATGTAAAATAATAATACATATATATATATTATATAAATTGTCAATCAAAGTGTGTGTGTGTGTGTGTGTATGTGTGCCCTCAAGTCCCATTGAAGAAACTCAAACGAGAGCGTTTCTTCTTCAAATTATGTACATAGACCACATAAGATCCGAGTCTCTTTATTGAGAAGGATATTCGACGATTTTCCAATATATTTACTTGTACTCGGACTCGGTGCTCTACAATAATTATTGTGCACATTATACATTATATACAATTTATATACATATTTTTTTTTTATCCTGACCACTATAGCTATTAAAATATAATAACGTCACCGCCTCGACATATTTTATACGGTTAACGGCGATGCACTGCAGTACGTGCACTGTATAAATACAACGGTTACATGCGGTTAGTGTGCCTGTGCGGTGGAGACTTGGGAATTAAATTACACTTCACCATTATAGTAGTATACCTATTTATGTAAATACCTATACCAATATTATTATTAAACATTCCGACCGCGGCTGGTATGACGTTTATTTAGCATAAACGGTTGAAATTATTAACGTGATGATCGTGATGATAGCGAATGGGTTTTCGCTTTTTTTTTTTTTAAACGTATTTATATTTACATGTATAATTATTTGTAATTTTTTCCCAAAGAGTAGTTATTTTCTATATCGGTTAGGTACGCGGAAATAACCACTCGGCGGTGTACCTAACTAATTATTATTGTAGTAAAATTTCACTGCAAATATCATACACATACCATGCATATAATTATTATATTATCTAGGATTGGCCTTGAAAGCGCCACACATATTATTATTGTTACCATTATAATATACAGACCGTTCAATCGGTTCGTTGTACCGGGGCAACGTCTCGAATGATGGTTGCGTTTAAGAAGAAAGCTCTATCGCGTATCCGGTACAAATGGAAAACTTTAATTCATTCGAGATAGAGAAATGTTGATTCTTAGCTCACCGGAAAGAGCTTGTCGAGAAGATACAAAATATGAACTAAAACCATTATTAAAGTTTTTTACCGTTAAAAAAAAATTCATTAATTTTGGCTATTTTTCTTTCCACGAAGCTATTAAGTTTGAATCTAATTGACTTGTTTGTTTTTAGTTTTACAAACTGTGTGACAAAATGCTTAATAAAGTATTCTTATTTTTTGAAAAATGTCATCAGTTATTATTGGATAATCGTTAAACAATTTTTTTTTGTTGCTTTTCTACCGACTTAATAACGCTTGTCGTTTTTGAATCCCTTTTTTTTAAATATTATACCTAATCTTAGCTAAGTTTTTTCACCCTTGGCCAGTTGTGCCATCGACCGTTGTTAATCGACTACTTGTTATCAGTATTTCTTATCAGTTGACGTTATCATTGTACACGATATTTACAATAACAACGTAAACTGATAAGAAATACTGATAACAAGTAATCTATTAACGACGATCGGTAGTGATAACATTACAGATGTTTGATCAATTTTCTTCGGCCTCGCTGTACAACGGATGGATTATTTTTTTCATTTTTTGGCCACACTGACTGCTGAGACTTAATAGTCTCAGCTTGTTAATATTTTTTTTGATTTTTTCTGAGTGCACTATCTGTTTTTTTTTAATCTGTTATTATATAATACATATTATATTATATTGTCACTTCCGGGAATTCCAATCAAACGTTTTTGCTGGTAATTATCAGTAAGGTCTTGTTTTCAACATTGGTATAAAACGAAATATATGTGTATATTTTGCCGAATAAATACAAATTTAATTTAACTTATCAACGCGAGTGCCAATGTTTTATAGATATAATTTTTTATATTTTATTTAGTCAAGGTAATACTAATCAATATAGTATGATAATAGTGTATCCGACAGCTTTTATTGGTTTATATTAATTGTATATTATTGCGATTCGCTGAAAGTAATTATCTAATCTAAGTTATTCAACGAGTCTACATCATGTCGCATTTATAAACTGCACTAGGTAAGGCCGGTGACTTTTAAGTATACATATAATTTATTAGAGTTCTGTCATAGTCCGTATTGTGTTATTATTATTACTATTATAATTGAATTAATCTTTTGCTATTGTGAGTACCCGGCGCAGCGGCCATCTTGTGTAACACACGGTGTGACAATGTGATTTGGTTAATACGTTTGGTGGTCGTCACGGTCAAATTAAAAAAAAAAAACCCTTTACAATAGCATAGACTGTACCCGTGTGTAACAACAGTAGTGGGGTGATAGTAATTATTATAAGGATGAAATACAAAAAAAAAAAAATTCCTAAACGAATTAGCTCAATGTCTCAATGTATCAAATCTTAAAAAATACATATAAGATTATGTACTTTAGTGTGATATTGTAGTATAATAGGACTTGACCGATCGAAAACCCATGATGTACTAATTACAATACTAATTATTGCTATAATTAATATACTTATATTAAAACGAAATTTTTTTAAAATTTTTTTTTTCCAGCCGTTTGCAAGACAGGCTGCCATCCGGTTCACGGCAAGTGCGACTATCCCGGCGGTTGCGAGTGAGTATATTTAACTATATATATAATAGATTTATTGATATTTAGAGATAGGAATCACAGCAAAACAGCTTATGGATATGTCATTGGAATGGAAAAAAAAAATTGTTTTTCTATGTTACCTATTATAATTATTATTAATTAAAATAATGTCGCCATTACGATAGTGAACGACTGCAATTTGCTTAGCTCTCCTATAGTAGGTATACCTACTTATGTTGTGGAGGAATATTTATTACAAAAACGTTTTATCCACAATAATTTATTCCTGTTGAAACTAATTGATACCATACAAATGATACCATTTTTATTTTGCTTTAATATAAAATATATTTTAATTAGTAAATAAAATTATTGTAAACCTGTTGGATTTGTTGATACACACGGTTACGTGGCCGCAGAGTAATTTTCTAACAAGTTGTCTATTAAAATTTATCGTTCAACCTTTTTTTTTTCAATGAATTAAAATAATATATAGGTCCGGCGTGTGTTATTTTAATGGTTCCGTGCTAACAGATCGTAAATTATTATATTGCGGTAGCGTTAAAAAGTTTTAATATCATAATATACAAAATTGCAAGGCTGGCCAAGTTTAATGGTTTATGGTATTATATACGGCCGTCAGCTCCGCACAAGCGTAGAATGATATGAAATATATTTTCAAATTAATTTAACCAATAGAATGTACAACGTTATATTATTATTAATTGGTTCGTTTAGTTGCCAGTTGTAAAATATTAAATTGACACTTTCTGTAATGTAACAATATTTCTACAGGGAGATCTGAAAAGAACAAACTAAAAAAATAAAAACCCTGATAAGATATAGTAGAACGTCGTTTTTTTGTAACTATCTATATTATTTTTTAATGTAAAAAAAAAAAAAATAATCAAATTATAACCATATTATCAAGTTAAAAACACATCATAAATCATTAAAACATCATTATAAAAACAATACCATAATATTTTATTCGCATCGAAGCTGATAATTAGTTAAAATATGAATGCTTTACTGGACTTAATTCCGACATCGAAACCAGCATTTTCGATTTGATGTTTTACAGTTATAAATTAAAAAAAAAAATCGCTTCGAAAACGCTGTTCGCATACAAGAGCGATGATGTGTCAAAATTTGTACTTGGCCGACAACCAGTTTTTTGAAAAATACACTTATCGGATTATAAACGTTTAAACACACGCTCGAATGTACGACTTACCGATCTTATTACAGTCTTAACTACTTTCCTGCGCTTATAATACGCTTAAAGAATATCAATAATAATTTATAAAATACTAAATAGGTATAATATAGTATAACACAAGTGTTGAAGAATTATTTTCGTATGTCAAACGGTCGGGCTTTAATATATCATGGTAAAACATGTCGAATGCAATTTAGAAATTTTTGGTTTTTTTTTTATATACTTATGTATACTAATCCGTCCAATTTGGTAGCCGTTTGTCGGTAAGTGAAACAGCTAAATCGTTTTTGTGGTCGGTTAGGAAATATAATATACAATGTATATATACATGTATGTTATATATATAATGGTATATCTACAAGATAATATACTAACTATATAAACCAGTCAAGAATATATTAGATTTTTACCCAAAAACAGTTTACCTAATTTTGATTTATTGTGTTTGAACGTTGTTAACTTGTGCTTTTTAAATGGTAACTTTTTTTTTGAAATTGAGAATATTTTGCTGAAAATTTTCACTGGTCGATAACGGGTAGTTTTATGAATAATTACTTTTAAAACAGTTTAAGATTAAACTTTGGGACGGCAAAAAAGGATGTAGTGAAGTATTATTTGTAGGGCCAAATGGTGAAATAATTTTTCCAACAGTTCTCTCTTAGTGGGCTCTCTCGCATTAGATATACATTGATATCTCGCTCTGCGGCGCGTTGCCGTGCATCCTGTGGCATCCCAACCTAACCGGGTAATTTGTTTTGCTTATTTTTCGTTATAGTGAAAAATTAAAAATAATTTATAACAAAAAAACATCCACTCGACGGTTGATAAAAAATTCGGATCACGACCGCGAAACCCACACAGACCCGCGTGTATGCGGTGATATTATATATATATATATATATATTTTTTTTTATATTACATTATGTACCATCTGCATATTATATTATATTGCTCTGTGCTGCGGTGTGTACACTTGCTTGCCGGTGTGTTGGACTCGGGCCAGCCGCGAACCACGAGGAACTTTTCGGTTTTGTTTTCGGCCGTGGGAATAAGGAATCGCGTTCTTCTTATAATATGGTCTTGCCCCCGTCTTGTCGATTCGGCTGCTATCGCTCTCTCAAGGGGCCGGCCCGGGATACGCTGTCCGAATTTTAAACGAACCGACCGCCGGTGGAATTTCTTAGTCAGGTGCCTTATGCGCTGTGTGTGTGTGTGTGTGTACCTTACCTCTCGGCACTAAGAAGGTCCCAGGCCGGCTCTGGTCGTGTCCGCGTATACGATTCTCACGCATGTCCGCGCCGCCGGAGGAATACGAAATTTTCTGTGTGGGACACACACTTATAATAGTACACTATACCGATGAATCACACACAATTGTTGTATATTTTATATTATTGTTTTCGGTTAACCTAGCCGTCGTGGACGAGCTTGAAATTTAAATAAATCCGTGCGTATGGGACAGGCAAAACGTTTCCACCGCTTAAAAAGCTTACCAGCTAAAAGCTGGTACGATGCGGATCCGAGAAGCTATTGGTACGGTCTATTTACAACGGCGTTTTAAATTTTTGTCGCAGAACCGACTTCTTAGGCCGAAAATAAAAAAAAAAAAAAAATCACCCCTTCACCGTTTAAAATCTGGAAAAAAACCGTAAAAAAAATGTACATATTTTTCAACTTATCACAGACCGCAGATTCTATACATAAATCTGTACGATAAGCTCATGTGATAAGAGAATAAAATTGACGTACAGGCTTGTTAAGAAGTCACCACTTATTAGCAACACTTATAATTTGATTGCTTAAATTATTTTCTTATTTTTTTTTCTATTCTCTTTCAGTTATATGATAATTACTGTAGACCCGTGACCCAATCTGGTTCCCCCACTATGCCCTGACCTCACTGTATTGGTTTTTTTAAAAAAATATTAAGTAATTTTAATTGTGTTTTTATTAGCCAAGTTATATAAGTTGACCTAACCAAATCGATACAATTCTCTTTTGCTTTTTATACATTCAAAATATACAGTAAATTATAAATTATATTAATTCTACCTCTCATAGTGCCCTCCCCCGCTTGAAAAAATGTCTGAATTCAACACAAGCCGCCTTAGACGATGGTCTCGTTTAATAAGTAAACACCTATAGGTAAAAAAAATTGTCAAGTCTCCTGTGCACACACACGTTGGTCGTTTAGTCGATTACGTCCAACAAAGCTGGATTTTTTTTTTATTAAATTTTTTTTGTCTTGTACAGGTGCCGAAAGGGTTGGCAGGGAGAACTGTGCGACCAGTGTATGACCTATCCGGGATGCAAGCACGGTTACTGCAACGGCACGTCTTGGCAGTGCATCTGCGACATCAACTGGGGCGGTATATTATGCGATCAAGGTATGTGCTTTGTAACATTATTATTATTATTATTATTAAGAGTGTGCGAATAATATATTTGAACTCGAATAACGCGAATAATTTAAGATTACTTATGAATAATTCGCCAATAGAATAGTTACACTACATTTTGGTGGCCATTATTTTTTGCTCATAGTTGTTTTAGTATTTATCTATTCAAACGGATCTGAGCATCTTGTCGACTTAAGAAGGTATAATTTCAGTTTTAACTTATTGTTTCTATCTAAATACACGGTCTAGGTGTTGAACGAGACTCTTAGAGGTTTGTTTTATATTAATATAATTATTATTATTAATGTTTGATATATTTTTCTGTATTATCCTTAACGTATGCGCTTTAACGATATTACTCCAATGGAATCAGATTACAAAATGCAGGAAAAAAAAACAGATTCCAAAATGTCCCAAAACATACATATAATTGGAAACCCCCCCAAAAAATTGATTATTTTCATTATTCGTTTTGTCCGCTGTTTTAAATAACAAGTCTTTGGAATAAATACAAATTGAAGAATCTAATCAGACATGTCCGTTTTGATCAACAATTTGTTTTTTCCATGGAAACAAATAATACAAATCTCATTTTTTCCCGCCAATGGCAAACAAACGGGATGGATAATTTAATTTTGATCGGATAAAATAATTATTTACAACACAATATCGTTTTTATAGTGTTATTATATTTTAATGATATTATGAATATTTTTTTTTCTATCACAATATACAAACAATATATTATTTTACATATTTAGTGCCTTTTTTTCCACCGTCGTTTCAATATCGTTTAGCTGATATATTCGAAAAACTAAAATAGTTATTGAAATAAAAAAAAAAAAAATATCTATACCTATATAATATTATTTCCTCCGTATACAAAATAACAGCTATATTTTATCTGATAAATTCTCATATATATATATTTATAAAATGGATATTATTTATTATGACAGATCCGTTGACTTATGGTGCGGTACAATGTAGATAATGATGACGTTAACCGTGTCCGCAGACGATAATTTACTGTAATATTATGCCGAATTGGAGATTTATCATTTGTAACGTTTTCAATACGGTTGTAATTAATATGAGGTTGTAAAAGTGTAAACACCACAGTGGAAATTAGTGCTACAGTTTAGCAGTGTGCTCGTGCATAGTCGTCAAGCGGGGTCGACTAGGTAGATATATAATGCTAATTATAACCGACTAGTTGAGCGAAGGAACAATTATAGGACAGCTATAAGACTACTCTGACTAAATGTTGAAATAGTTTATATTGAACCGCCATTAATATTGAAAAAACCGCCTTGGGAAATAAACGTTTTAATAAAATTATTCATTCGATTTTTGCCAAATTGTATCTTACCAAAAAAAAAAAACTATTACCACAACACTATTTCACAGCTGTATTTTCCCAAAGTAATATAATAAACGTATTGCAGTTAATTAGCTTAGAAAAAGTAACTCGCCCGGGTCTCTCTGAATGCAATTAAATATCATATTATATACATATATATTACACATAAGTGTTAAAAATCTGTGTCCATTAGTACTTTGTGATCAATTAAGTGTTATTGCTGAGTAGAATCAAACGGCTCAGAAGTGGTCGGTGATAAAATTTAAAGTAATTGAAAATGTAATTAACTCTATTAACTTATACATTACCAGGTGTCCGTTTGAGGTTAGGTTAGGATTTTCAATATTTTTCTAACTACTAGTTTTCTTATTTTTTTTTTTTTTATGTATATTTTATTACATATTTTGATCATTTTCGAAACAGGCCAAGTTAACCGTGTACATAAAAATTAAATACAACCTTGTGAATAATAATAAATGTCATACTTGATCGTTTATAATACTTGTGATCTAACTATACACGACTTGTGTGTTTGTGTTTTGGCCATTGAAAAAATTAGCCTCGATTAAAAGGGTATTTTTGCATAAAAAAAAAAAAAAATGTAAAATATTATAATGTGATCCGAATGATTTCTAACCTAACCTATTGTTGTGTGTGATTGATCTTATTTTTTTTTTTTATCATTTACCATGTACTATTATTATGTGTACGACATGTAGTGGATAGGTACATATATACAATGTAGTAATTTTTCAAACGACCTCATATGACTAATCCATTGTCGACACCCTAATTTTATACGGATAAAAAAAAAAAAAATATTCAACCTCCTCTAACCAAACTAACCGAAGTGGCCGGTCTGTACAATTCTAGCCGTCGTTGTATATTTCAATGATATTTAATATTATTATTTGATTTTTTTCATTTGATTTCAATCGCGTTGCACGACACTTGAACGACCGCTATAGTGTAAGTCCGTATCGAATGATTCATTTGTTGTCAGTGTGTGTGTGTGTGTGTATCGTTTCGTCTGATACAGATCACATAATCATCCCCTACCGAAGGGCAACCCTTATAGGAAAAAAAAAAAAATTATCGTTCGATTGTTGTCGAATAAAAAACCTACCTATCCTTTTGAATTTTGTGAAGGGTAGCTGTAATATACACATTTATATATTATGTGTTTATTTCTATGAGCTCGACATGGACGTTACGCGTTATTATTTTTTAACACGAGGCTCAAAGAATTGTTACTAAAAAAAAAAAAAAAATGTTTTTTTAATTTTTCCATACACCGTCTCCGGTCCATTTATCGCAAAACCAAAGTCAATGTGTCTGTGTGTGTGTTGTACATAATAATAATGGATCGCAAGCACAGGGCCAACGTGTTGCATTTCACACTATCGATCATTCGGTGTTTTTTTTTTTTTTTTAGTAGGTTTTTGTGTCACAGGCCGCTTAAAGTAGTAATAAAAGGGCTGGCAAATAGGAGAGGGGAAGGGGTGTTTTTTTTATTTTAACCGGATTATGTTTCGTTTTTTTGTCAAGTTGTAAAATAAAATATATGTATTCAAATGCATTTTGTCATGTTTGTCCGTGTCTGAAATATCTGTTGTAAATTTTATCTATCAGTAACAGTAATTTTAAATCAAAAAAGCCAGACAAAATGAAATTCGAGTTCTTTGGTTACTTTACAATGTGCCATGCAGATTTTCATTTAAACATTTCAGTTTCTTGTAGCCGATACAATAAAATTAGGCAATTTTTTTACATAAAAAAAAGCAAAAAAAAGTCGGTTTCCTACACATAACCCGGTAAAGTCGCCAAAGAACTTGTGCATATAACACGCAGAAGTTAATTTATACATCTGAACGGTATGCGTAAAAAGTCTTGGACTTATACCGACCGGTCGAATGATGAAATTTATCAGCAGGTTACTTGGTCACTTTTTTTTTTTTCGATCTGATGTAGTTGTTGTAATACACGTCTTACAGGCTCCGGTCTGCGTTTAATGTGTTTACCGCGCGTTCTACATATTAATATTAATAATAACAATATTAATACCCAATATGTTAGAGCAATTAAAACGGCTAGTAAAAATAAAAAATCATTATATTATAGTGTACACGTATAACACACTATAACAACTCTCTCTCCCTCTCTCTCTCTTGACGACTTTACACACACACACGGGCATCTGATCGTGCGGTGCTACTAATTAGGAAATTGCCATAAGTATATTTTCTTGTTACATATTGGCTTGTAATAATAATAATAATAATAACGAACGGCAGTATATTATTCGTATTAAACACGGGCACGACCGGGTGTAGCGTTTTTTTTTTTTTTTTGCCCGCCCCTCAAATACAATTTATATATATATATAATGTAATATAATATAATAATCATATTCTGGGACGGTCTGATCACGATTGCCTGTCTCTCTCTTTCTACTCTTTCGCCGCCGTTGTCTTTGGTGAAAACGAGTTTTTTATAATAATAATAATAATAATAAATATAACACACAAAATATGTAACACACTGTACATCGGGTACATACACAGTGGATCCGCCGGAGACTACCTACCTACCTGGTCGGGGCGGCCTGTGCATTTTTTTTTTTTTTTTTTTTTTAATATTTATTTTTTTTTTTCTGTTATACAAACTACCGTCGTTTGTTAATAGTAATAATAACAACAACGACGACGACGATAATAACGCACACAGAAATGCATTTAATTTTCTCCAACCCTATCGGTTCGGTATCGCGTCGGCTCAGCACGATCTTCGTGTATATAATAATATTACGATGAACCTATCTATCTGTCTATATACAGATACTATATGCATTTGTGTGCACAGAAAATCAAATCACACAAACCGGGATCCCCATCCGGGCGTAGGTACACCCCGGCAGTAGAGTACCTGGTGTATGGTTATGAGATATATTCGGCGTTTCCCTATTACTTATCGCCCGGTCATTATACGGCCGGGTCGTGCCGGGCAACACCTCCCCGACAAAAGCGTATAATACGGTCGGTATGGTACCCAATGGTATATATATATATATATATATATATATAATATAGTAGGTATACACTCGAGAAGACCAGCTAACCAAGCCGCTAATTTCCACGGTTATTACCGCGATTGCCCGTGTTTTGATGTACGCGATAGACACACACACACACACTCATATAGTTACCATATATTATATTATTATTATTATTATTAGATGACTGTTATATTATTATAACGGCAGCGGTGGCAGTCGCGGATACGCAGATGGACGGAATAGATTATTATAACTTAATAGACATTTATATTAAAAAAAAACAAAATATGTCCGTTCTCACGAGCTGTGCTCTCGTATATTACCTTCTAGTAGATATATACTATCACAGATTGAAATATAAAACCAGATAGTGCACCGGACAAATGTAAACAAACTCCAATAACCTCAGGTCAGTGTGACCAAAAAAAAAAAAATACAATCCTTCTGTTAGGTAGGCACTACTGCGTCGAGTTTGAACCAATCAAAAATCGTTATTTGTGATAATCTATTGTTTTCCTATATATATATATATATATGTCTGTGTTATCGACAAATTTGCATGTGATAAGGTTCTGATTTCCACAAAGATGGCGGAAAACGGTAACTTCAATTATATATCTATTGGCGATCTAGTTTATTACATACTTCTATATCTGCGATAAACTCGGTTAACTGGAGTTAAGATTAAACTCTGTTGCATAGACCATGTTTTAAATTTTATCTGTTGTTAAAAGTATATGTATATAGTTTCAATGTTTTGCGTTAAAGCGGTGATAACGGAAATGCGCGTTATCAGTTTATCGTTGATTAGATCCTGTACGATAGTAATATCAACTCTCCTACTGCCGATACCGTTTATTCGATAACCAGTATACTGGTAATAACCCGGTTTAAACCAATCAAGACTGCGCCACAGTCTGGTTTTGTACAATCCGCGATATTGTGTTATAATCGTATCTGATTATTATTATTATTGTCACGTGTGTTAATTTTTTACCATTACATTTTTCCGTGTTCGCAGACCTGAACTACTGCGGTACTCACGAACCTTGCCTGAACGGTGGCACATGCAAGAGCACGGCGCCGGACAGGTACACGTGCACGTGTCCCGAGGGATTCAGCGGACCCAATTGCGACGTGGTGCTCAACCCTTGTGCCACAGAACCCTGCCTGAACGGCGGCAAGTGCACCACCGTCAGCCCCCCGGCAACCCTGAACCCTTCGGCCCCGGGAGGCAGCCCTTCGCTTCAACCCCTGCCCAAACAGTTCCACTGCGAGTGTCAGCCCGGCTGGACCGGCAGCACGTGCAACACCGGTAAGTCCAGAAATAGCTTCAATGATGGGCAACAGGTGTATTTATCATAATGTTATTTCACTGTTGAAAAAAAAAAACCGTTTCCGAAGAGGGTCTCGTGGCCTGTCACGTAGGACGAACAGTCCAACCGATGGTTACTAAATAGATACGTATGCGCGCCACAATACAACATATTACACTTGCACGTCAACAGCCGTCAATGTCGATAATCAGTCAAAACCGTTTACCGGGAACCACTTTGTACAGACACAATGACTAGCTTCGGAGTAACCGCACAGTCGTCTTAGGTCGCCTTAGCCCCGTTTAAATTGGCAATATTAATTATAAATTGTCTCGGCCGTAGCGGTTAACAACGACTTATGACTTGGCTTTTCGTTAAAACTATAATTCACAAAATATATACCTATGTATACAAGATTCATTCTCATCTTTCTTTGATTTTAACCGTCTTCAAGTGTAATAATAATTCACTATTCCGCTGTCTTTCCCGCATGCTATCCACACATTTTTATAAAAAAAAAAAAAAAAATAGACCGTCTTTTACTACTATACGGCGTCTTAAATGATTTACTAGCTTGTCCTAGATTAACCCCTCTGATCGTTCCAAATTCGTGCCCGTGCTTTGTCATGGAGTAAAATATATATATATATATTTTTTTTTTTTTCTGATCACGACACCGACTTTGTCTACACGCTTTCAGGAAATACCATAACAATAATAGTGTGCATAGTCGTTAGCGGGCGGATGTGTAGGTTTCACGTTGTGATAAGTACTTACTTAGCTGCGTGCAGAAAAAAATCAATAATTACACGACCATTGTTTAGCTTGGTTTTCTGTCAAATTTGTTTTTGTCATTTTAGTTAATGCTAAAGACATTGACGGTAAAATCATAATATATTATAAAGATTTCCATCATCATCAAAGCAGAGTATAAAATTATGCAAAGTTATAGCGTGTGGCCGTACTGGACTAGTGATGTGCTACTAGGAACACTGCCCTACCTCTTGGGAATATCCTTAAAAAAAAAAAAAAAAAAAAAGTTAATTTATATAAGTAAGAGGAGTGTACGGATATATTTTAATAAAATATTATAATAATGTAGTTTATTTTATTTTGGTTTTTGTTCATTTTATTTGTACATATACTTGTAAGGTATTAATTTTTTATTTTGAAAGATTCGTGACAAGTTGTAACTATGTTTTTTTATTTACTGTCTAACAGATAGACAGTGTAAATATGTATAAAAATAAAAGTAATTATTCAAAATCCAATCTTTATACCGAAGACTGACATTGGGTGTACAAGTTGAATTCGGTTTTTATCCAATATATATTTTTGGAATTACCAAAAACACTTCCTATACAATTTTTGCGCATTTAATATTTGTATATTCGAATAATTTATAAGTTTAATTAACTGTTCAAACACTGTCTTGGGAATATTCCGGGAATTTGCACACTGTACCGGCGGACATACCTATAACTATACTATACTGGACTGTGGTTTTTTTTTTCTTCTTATAATTATTAATACTCCAACCTCGTGATTGCGGATTAGATAACGCCGACCTGTCTCTGTTTGGCCGTTGGCCGTTGCCTCTGATCGATTATCATTTATCATATTATAAGTGGCGGTCGTTATTATTATTATTATTATTTATTTATGTTTTCTACTACAAGAGAGCCGTACTATAACGGTATTGCGCAAGTCCGGTGAATCGGCCGGAGACTTTAACGACCGCACACACCATCGTCGTCGTGCCAGTCGTTCAAGTGGGTACTTGTTTTTTTTTTTCATTTTCGTTTTTTGATGGCTCGCGCCATGACTTAACGATTATAAAATAATAATAAAACACAATCGTGGTTATTATTATTCAAATTTAATTTAATTCCGATTTTTGAATTATTTCATACGCATAAAGAGAAAGGACGACAAATAATAATAATAAAAAAAAAAAATGTATATAATTATATTTTTATGTGACACGCCATCAACGGTAGTGTATATGATGATGGCGGTCGTGTGTGTGCGCGTCTGTCTGGTTGATGATGTGTGTGTGTGTGTGTGTGTGTATTGTTATGGTAAACAACCGTCGTTGGGATTATTTTATCAAGTCATCGTACCTATACTTACCAAGTTGTGTGTGTGCGCGCGGCCTCTTCACATATACTTATACAAGAAGAACAAGCCTACGCACTGTACCACACGACGACGACGACGGGCGATGACAACTCACTGGCGGGTGTTTAACAACAACAATAATAATAATAATAATAATATAATATATATATAAAAAAAGAGTATTTTAATTGCGACCACAATGCGACGCATTCTCGCCGGAGACGAGGCTCTGCGGCCGTCTCAGCTCGCCGTCTTGGCGTTCCCCTCGTCCCACTTGTTTCAATGAATAAATACTATTGCTGTGATATACTAATCGACGATCTGTTTGTTGTTTTGCCCCTTCTGTACAGAAATCGACGAGTGCGCATTGATGAAACCCAGATGCCTGAACGGCGGCACGTGCGTGGACAAACTCAACGATTGGGCTTGCTTGTGCCCGGACCGCTGGCGAGGACTTCAGTGCGAAATCGGTAAGAAAACCCGCTGTTCTAATTGCATTTCAATCTAGTCGTTGCCACCAAAGTCTGTCGATATTTGACTAGTAGGCGCAAATCGCACGCACCTGGTCCTAGAACATAATATATTACATACTGTTTGAGACATTAACATTCTGGAACAGCCGTAGGCGCTGTCGTTCATGACAAATTACACAAAGAGAATATGTAGGCGCTCTGTACGTTTACAACAATAATTCCACAGCCATGGAGAGACCACATATATCTTAGGCCTGTTAACGTGGAAGGGACTAGGACGGCTGTGGCCGTTATCTTTACCGAGTGTTGGTGATCAAATCGCCGAGTTGTGTTCTCCCCCCTATAATATATTAACCGTGATTATGAAAGCGTTCCACAACCGTTTGTAAAGTAATATATTTTTGGTCGAACAGTAAATTTAGGCGTTTTATTGTGCGTTTGGGAATGCGATTAAGAAGTTATTTTTCGCAGGCATCGCCGAGTCAGGCTCTCCGGTCGTGTCAGCTATTGTTCTACACTACTATATTGTGTGTACAAACTTTGTTGTCTGTCTGCGTGTATATGTGTGTGTGTGTGTGTGTACTACTCCAATAACAACCGTGTATATACATATATATGTAGTGATGGTCGTAAGTATCTCGGTTGTGCGGGGCTCATCTCGTCGGCTTGCAATCTTTTTTTAGTGGAACCGCTCGTTTGCCCCCCCTCTGTGTGGGAGACCACCGATCACGGACACGGTATAACCCGGCGCAAACGAGAATATTACGTGCCGAGACGGATAATAATTATTATTGTTCTCTGGCGTACACAATCCACATGTACATACACAATGTGTACAGGTATACGCACACTGGATAATATGATAAACTGCCAGACCGAGGGCCGTTAAACGTTTATAATTTTTCTATATCGGAAACGACTGTGTGTGTGTCTCTCTCTCTCTCTCTCTCTCTCTCAACACACACGCGCTTGTATCTTGTGTGCAGAGGAAGTCTCCTTTGATGTGTAATATTATATCTTGGCTTGTGTGCGGCAGACGTGGACGAATGCGAAAGCCAGCAGAGGACCAACAGCAACATCAACAATCAGGCGACGTGCGGACCCAACGCTATCCAGTGCAAGACCGACCACAATAACGGCACACGGTGCGTTTGCCGCAAAGGCTGGGCCACAAACGCCGTCAACAACAACGGCAACGTGGCCTTTGGCCCTTTGGGTTGTCCGGTCAACGTCGACGATTGTGCGGCACCGGCTCTTTGCATGAACGGAGGCACTTGCGTGGACTTGGTGGCATCGTACGTTTGCACTTGTCCGGTCGGCTACACGGGTAAGACCAACGTCGCTTTTGAATATTAACCTTTGCGCGAATCGACAAAGGTCGGCGGAGGAGGGGCAGTGGGAAGAACTCTTAAACTTGTACAAACTTCCTTCCTTCGATCATAGTATGTCATCCAGAATTTAACTCTCTTTGTTTAGTTGTTAATCCTTGTATTAGTTGAGGCTCTCTGTGCTTCTCAATTGTAACCCAATTCTTTCAGGTCCTTGTATTTTTGTTTAGGTCCTCATCGTATCTTTTAATCATGTCTTTACTAAGCTTTCGTGTCTTAGCATGTGGCCTATCATCTTATCTCTTCTGGATTGAATAATTTTCCATCATAACTCTAGTGTGTTGTTAAATTATTGTGTCACAGGTCAACGGTGTCAGACTCAGATAGATCCTTGCGACAGCCTCGCGTCTGCTAACCCTTGCAAGAACGGCGGCGAGTGCGTGCGCAGTCCCGGATCTTCCAGACCTTACTCCTGTATATGTCCGCTGGGTTACTCCGGCGACGAGTGCGAGGTATGTCGTGCACGAGCCCAGCCGTTGATCGATTCTCATCCCTCTCTACCATGCTATGCTCTGTGTTTTTCAGATCAACAGGGACCACTGTGCGCCCAACCCTTGCCGGAACGGCGGACAATGTCTGAACACGCCCGACGACTATTACTGTCATTGCACCGTGGCGGCCGACGGTTCGGCGTGGCACGGCAAAAACTGTACGGCATCCCGGAAGAAGACCGGAAGTCCGGCGACCAGCACCACTAGCAGCAGTAGCAGCAGCAGCAGCAGCAGCAGCAGCTCCACCACGACCGTCCGTTTGCCGGCCGTGATCGTTCATCAACAGGACACGTTCAGAGGTGAGTCACGGGTGTATAATATTTTTTGAGGAATCCGCCGTCGATCAATCAATCGGCCGTGATCTTTGGCTCGCGGAGACGTCGGGGAAGGAAGGGAATGAGGGGTTCTTAATCCGGATTAACCGACCGACGTTAACGTGGAAACGAATGATAGGGCATAAAACGTACGCGGTTCTTAAGACACTAAAGCAGCTGCAACACGCGGTGCAATGCGCGCTAATACCGCAGTCGCATAATCCTCTGGTCACCCGTGTCCGGGCGAACCGATCCGAGGACCTTACGATAAGTGTTTGGATGCAATCTAGTCTTGACTCTGATCCAAAACAGATGCACGATAATAATATTGTTCACTAAATCTCAGCAGAGACCTCTGGTTTCGTGGACCAACGACTCGTTGGAAAAACCTGCCAGCATAAGGGCGCGTAGAGTCTATGAATCCAGCGAATTGATTCCTCAAATCGGGGATGGGGCAGTTTACTTGCGAAAAATGCGTGCCACGTTTCTTACCTGAAACACAGTGTGACTAAATGAGACGGGTTAAACAAATTGTTCCCATTCACAGATTTGTGAGATTGCTGCTTTCTGCATAACGCCGCCATTCAATTGCCAGAACCCGACCAATCCACATGTAACCTGACCTGACCTGACCTGATCTGATCAGATCTGATCCAAATCTACCTTAAAAAAAAACCTTACACTAAGCTATTTTTTTGGGAATTTCAGCAAATCGGTCAACGCAAAAGCGTATTCCGTTTGTTAACGCTGGCTGGGATTGTCTCTACCGATTTGGGTGGGGGGGGGGCAGGCCGGGTTTAGCGTTTCTCTGTTGTCCGAGGCTAGTCGAATCATTCCACACCGACTACACGTTGTGTACCGGATGCATTCCTCGTTGGTACAAGCCCCCTTCACTCGGATCTGGATTAGGAGAGACCCGCCGCCGCTGACAGACGCGTGATTCGATACAATATTATTATTATTATTGGAAAACACGGTCGGCGCTCTAAAACAAAAATAGTTTTCCTTTTTTTTTTTTTTTTTTACATGTACCCATATCGATTTTTTACGTTATTTATGGGCAAACCGAAAAATAAATACGCGTCACGCTGAGATTCCGGGCAACAGGAATCCTCTGTGAGCCGACGTCATCGCCAGCCCGGCCCGTGATGTATATTTGAATATAAATTTGAAACCTACTAATAACCAATCTCTCACGGCTTACATTGCCGTGGCTCGTGAAGAAACCGTTCACGATTTCTTCTCGGTATACACATAGTGGTGGTGCTTATACACAACCGCGCATAATATGCATATACAGCGGGGGTCTAATGGGAAATGTTGGAAGAGAAGTATTAAAAAAGAAAAAAAACAACAATCGCCGGCCACGTTGTGTTCTTGGTCTTTCGGCTCCACACAGACTAAAGGAAGAAACACATAGTCTTTTCGGCTTGGGCTTCCCGCTGACTCTGTGGTCAAATCATCGACGGCGGTGGCGGTGGTGTCGGACGGCTATTATTATTATTATTACACACACACATAATATAATAACAATTATTATTTTCATTATTATAACAACATATTCTTTTTTTTTTTTATGGATATTATTCCGGAATTATAACGATTTGATCAAACAACAAACAACAGTTTCCAACCAAAAAAAAAAAAAAAATCATACTATAATTCGGTCGTGGAGCCGTTTTTTTTTTTTCTGTACAGTTTATGTCTATGAAAAGCGCCTTTTTTTCCCTATGTTTTATCGCAATCCGGATGGTGTGGGATATCCTATGTGTATGATAGTAATACAAAATATATTGGTATAAACGATAACAGGGTATCTGGCACGGGGTCTCGCATTAATAACGTTATACCCGTTCGATAAATGTCGACAATAATAATTATTGTTGATTAAAACTTGGAAATGTTCAATCGAATCTGTTTGTAATAGTATACACACAAAATATACTAAAATATTACCAAAAAATAAATGGAAAGGATACAAATTCGCTTAAATTAGGTAAACTTGAAATTAGAATAAACTCTACATAATCAAATAGTAAGAAGTAAATTGTAGCTTAATTCACAATATGTAGAAGGCGTTGAACGTAATATGTTATAAATAATTAAACTTCACCGAAAAATAACAATACAATTTTCGGTTAGGTAACTCAACATATGGATCGCCTGTATTATATTGATGGCCGCCATTTTGTGAACAGTTAATGTTTTGTCCGTGACAGTGTATCGTGGAAGAGTAAATAGGCATTTTTACTTTCCATGAAATCTGTACACACAAAATGGCTGCCAACGGGGTTTTGACGATAATAACGGGGGGTTGTTTTTTTTCTTCAAAATCGTTCTCACATGTTCTGATATATTTTGCAGACACCGAAGACCGCGAATATTATTACTACAACAACAGTCCGCAGACTTGTGCCGACTCCAGGGTGTGCTTGAACGGGGGCACTTGCGTTTTGGGCGGTCCAGGAGGAGCTGCGGCCGGAATTGGAGTCGGTGGTCGGCGCAAAGTGCCTTCGTACCGGTGCAAATGCCCCGAAGGATACCGCGGCCGACACTGCGAATTCCGGCAAGAAGACTTAGGTAACAGACCGAGTGATAAAAATGAAAATATGTGTAAAAAAATTGACATTTTCCCCGTTTTGTTTTGCCCACACAGATTTTCCCAATCAACACGGTGGCGGTGGCGGTGGTGGTGGTAAGAGGCCAAAAGTAGAGTACGACTACGAAGAGATGGTCGACGACGACGACGACGACGACATAGCAGACAGCAATAGCAACGGTGAGCATTGTTAATAAAGTCGCATAACGAGCACTTTCACCCAGAAGGAACAGGGAGAGAACTTGCCCGAAGGCGCAACACCCTTTTTTGGAAATAATTGAACGGCGGCAAAAGAATAAAGACCGAGAGAGAGAGCCGAGTGTGTGTGTGTAGGCTGTGTTTCTTGGGTCCAATTTAATGTTGTGGAACCTTTTTCAAATAAGTTCCAGAAATAGAAAATAGAAGAAATACGAAAACTTCAAACTATGTGAACGTGGTGTTAAGTGTAATCGTTGACACACGTTTGATTGTGACATTGAAGTTTGTTCTAATCTCTTGTTAATTTGGACATTTTTTTATAAAAATAACTGACTAAACCTAACTTGAAATCCAATTCCATCTAATCTAATCAAATTGTACTAACCCAAACCACCAACCCAACAAGGCATTGAATAATGTTACAGCTGTAAATTTCATTTTATACAACTTTAAACTTAAAAAAACACAATTGTTAAGACTTGAAAATATTTTACATACAAAAACAAAAGTCTAATGTTTTTTTCTTTATTTCGGTTCAACAGACGACGCTCAACGAGCCACCACGTGCACAGCGTCCATGTTGAACAAACACTGGCCGGCGGCCGGCGCGGACCAGAGATGCAACGAGTGCCGGTGTACGACGACGGCCAGCGATGAAAATTTGGACGACGACGACGGCGACGTGGACGACACGCCGAGGGTGCGGTGCACGAACTTGTGGTGCGGTCCCAGGGATTGCATGAACTACCCTTGCGCCGCCAACCAGGTGTGTGTGCCTTTGGAGGACACCGTGGCGGACGTTTCATCGTGGAGACGTTGTCTGCGAGCGCCTTGCGCCGATGAACCGAACCGACACCATCACAAACGATTCGGCCGCTGCGTGTCCAACGGCGACGAGAGCGTCCAATCGGTGTGGCCGTCAGCCGCCCGTCACTGTTGGCCGTCCAACGGCGGCGGCGGCGTCGACCGACAGGACAACGGTTGTGGCACGCTGTCCGTGACGTTGGACGCGAAACGTCTGCGTCGCGGCACCACCACCGGTCAAGTGTGCCACAACATGCGCCGTCTTATATCGCTGTCTTGGGCGGCCGACAACAGCTACGCGGACGGCCAACACTCGGCCGCGACGTTGTACGTCATGTGCGAGCCGCTGGCCAAGACGGCCGACGAACTGAACAGCGACCGCGTTACCATACGAGTGGCGGCCGTAAGTATTGCAGATTTCCTATTCTTAAATTTATTGTATTCATCGACTTGTCGCCTGACGCTAGTGGTTTGTTTTTTTTTTTTCATTCGAACAGGCCGTCGCACAAACGCAGGAAGCCGTCAAGAGCGGTCTGGTGCAACGCGCCCTGGCCGTCCTGTACAAACAGCTGCAGAACGGCACGGCCGTGAAAAACAACCGAGAACAGGTGTCGTCGGCGTCGCTGGCCGCGGCCGTCGTCAGGGTACAACCGCCGACCAACCGGCCGCCGGCGTCCACTCAGTTCTCCGGCCAGGCCAACGGTGACTACCAGTACTACTATTGGACCGGCGTGGCCTGCGGTTCGCTGACCATCATAGCCGCGTGCCTGTTGCTCCGGTTCGGTTACCAGCAATGGAAGAAAAGAAACGGCGGCGCGGATTGCGCGGCGTCCACTTCGGCCGGCGGCAAGAGCAACGCCGCCATGTCCAACACGACGAGCAACAGCAACAACAATCTCATGTTGCTCGTCCAACGGCAAAACGAAGAAAACCTCCGCCGGTACTCGGCCGTGGCCGCCAGCACAAACAAGCTCAACGGTGGCGGCGGCGGCCTCAACCCCGCGGCCGGCGCGCTGTCCACGTCGTCGTTGAACTGTTCCCGGATCAGTATCGTCCACCCGCTGTGCCAGCAACCGGACACCGTGGCCAGCGGCGGCGGCGGCGGTCTGGAAAAATCGTCTTCGGCGGACGACAAGACGGGCGGCGTGGACAGCAACGCGATCGCCGCCGCGGCCGCCGTCGTGAAACCCGCCGCGGCAATAGTGGCCGTCGCGGCCGGTAGTCCGCAACACCATCAATTGCACAGCGCCATACCGCTGTGCAAAAAAACGCAAAACATTGAACAACAACAACAACACTACAACCACCATCAATATCACCAACAACAACAACACCACGTGCTGGTCCACCCACAACAAACGGCCGTCGTACAGCGCACCAACAACGTGGCCGGCGTCAGACCCATGGCCAATGGCCACGGCCTGAAAGACGACCAAACGTTGACGGCTTTGATTTAAACTATAAAAACGCTAAAAAATGATATTATTATTATTTATATTTCATTCACAAGCGATAAATTCTACTATAATAATGATATATCGTTATTGATTAATTATAATACTGATATATATTATTATTAATTAGTTATAATATATATATTATATTATAAAATTATAACTAATTAATTATACTATTGATATATATATTGTTATTAATTAGTTATAACGTAATATATATTATAACTAATTTACTATAATATTGATATATATTATAATTAATTAATTATAGTTATGATATATACTATTATTGGTTGATAATAATAATATATTATAAATATTGAATACACATACCTATACATATATTATAATATAATATAATAAGATAAGCGTGCAATTATTATGATATATATATACATTTTTTTTCTAGTTAAACGACGATTATTTATGTTTTATTTTTGCGAAAATTACGCCGATATAGCTTAATTTTAATTTTAATTTTTTTTAAACTTAATTTAATAAACTCACTATTGTAACAACAGAGATAATACCCTCCCTCCCTCCCTCTGGCCCAACCCCACCCCATCCCATCCCCCGTGATAAATAACCTTAAGTATAAAATATATATACATATGTATTTTCTTTTCTCGTACATCTTTTTACGGATAACGAATAGTCCTAAGCAAAACGATATAAGCATACACTAAGCCATGACATTAACATAATAATAATAATAATAGTATTACAAACAGACACGTAATCGAGATACGCTTGCCATTTTCAATATAGTTGTAACTATTTTTTTTTTTTATCACTCACTTGATTATTATTATTAATTTTTTTTTTTTTACCTTTTTTGTATACCCTTCTTGTCTTTTATAATATTGTGTTTATTGTGAAAAACCCTAATTTTTTTTCTATTATTTTTCTTGTAAATATTTAAAAACATTTATGTAAACATTAAAAAAAAAAAATAATAAAACAAAACATTTTACATATTATTTGGGGCTTAATAACATTATTTTTTTTTTTTTGTTCACTTGTCATCAAAACTCTAGAACCCCTTAACGAAATCAATGATACCTCTTAAATTACACCAATCGGTCGAGTTGCACATCTGTCGACACACACTGTCCGACTCCCTGATTATATAAACTTCCTCAAACAACAAACCATCAGATAAATTAAAGCAACACTATTAACAATAGATATCGGTAATAATAAAACAACAAGTATGTATAATAAACTTTTTCAATTTATTACTAAAAAATCAAGACATTTAAAACATTGAAATCTTAAAATAAAATTAACTGGTCAAAAGCATATTATTACACAAAAGACAATAAAAAATATCATAAGGTTTAATACAACTTTTGCTCCATATATTTTATATGAACCAACCTTGAAATATAATAAACATGTTTATCTTAAGCAAACTAATTTTTTTTCTTTGACCGCATACTGGCGTCTTTTTCGGTTCTTCACTAAGGATTTCATCTTTTTCAATGAACCTAGAATTGAGAGAAAAGTTAAAATATTAATGACATCACCTCAAAACCGTTTTATTTGTTCAATAAACAATAAAAATTCACTTACCAGAGTCTTTAAAAAGTCTGTAAAATTGCGATCCTCTGCAAAGGATTTCTCTGTTTCTTCTAAACGTTTTCAACTTGCAGCATACAATTTTATCAGCTAGGCAAAACCTTCTCCATCTTTTCGACACTTTGCAAGCGGTGTTAATGTCTTCTCCTGTTAAATAGTCACTGCAAACGAATAAATATGTGAATAACAATACTTTAAATAATTTTTAAAAATAATATTGTATCATTGATTGAAACAGGACTTACCGAAAAATCATGGTTGATATTTCCACTGGCAATTCAGATATAATATCAAAACGCATACTCGCTTCTGAAAACCACGAGCTCTTCAGGCAACTTGTAAAAAACATTTTGAAGCTTTTCGTTGTTTACGGTATCACTTTCGGCAACCAACTGAATTGGGCGATGAGCATCGCCGGTTTTATATAAGTCAAAATTCCAAAATGGCCGCCATCTTGTATAAGTATCATTGAAATAAGCTGGGGAAATGGTGTGAAATTAAGAGATTTTGATCGCCCTTTTAGAATTATTAGCATAACCAAATAATGTAGTTGAATACCAAAAATAATATTTATTATTATTTAAGTAAAAGGCGTAGGTACTAAAAATATATATCATATTAGAAGAAACGTCGATCATGGCACGTTTGTATCATATTTATACTTCCAAGTCACATCTAAATGATCATATATTTTGTTAAACTATTGCAAAATATCGATTACATAATTTGAGAGCTAATAAATATTGTGTAATGATTACATAATATGCTCCTGTTTCATTTCCAATTTAGGCAGACGTTTCGAGAAAAAAAAGGAATATGCGTCTCTAGATGGCTTATACTTAAAGTCACGGCTCTGTTACAGACATTGTCAATACAAATTAGCAAATAGCTTTTATTCGGGTAATACTTTTTTTAGGCTCGAACATGTGTAACGATATTTCCTACCTCGGACGTGGATGCAGCTCTCACGATGACTTCATCTATTTTGGGCTTTAATTTCTGACGCCAAGGAATCAGTCAACAGTCAGTAGTAAAAATTCTATATCTTGCAACCGCAAATTAAACTACTCACGGTTTGTGACTGTCTAAGTAATAGATTAGTATCATAGTTATAGCAACTAGATAGATTCCCTGGAAACTTCCACGTGAGCTTGGATCTTTTACATTATTCGTGTTCTACAATAAACCAATTTACAGCGACAAATAATACGGATAATTAAAATCAAACGTAGGTTTAGAATATACTTATACATTACTTATAGATTTATCCACTTATCTATTTCATTTCCAATTTGCAATGGCGTTTTTGAATAAGAGTGGAAAGTCACTGTTCGGTTACCGCATCAATACTGAATAGGTCGCTCGATTCTTTTCTTTGTTATAACACGTTCTTCGGTGGTTGCGATATTGTTTCTCCATCATAGGTCAAATATATGCACTTTGTCTTCTCGACTGCAGAATTTATTGTTCAGTGGTACTTAACAGGGTGTTGGTTTTTCAGTGCCGGTCAAGAAACTCCATATACGTTTTTAAAACGCGTTGCGACAATGAATAATCTAATCTCCAAACTAGATCTTCTTAATGCCTTTGTTGCAATTCTCTGGTAGTAAGTACGAACCACCACGATATTTAAAAATTGGTTAATCTGAGTAAATTAGTAATAAAAAACCACAAACCGAAGTATTTGTAAACAGTGAAGATTTGTTTATAACCTTGTGCAACCTAATTTTTTTTCTTTGACCTAATATTGGCTCCTATTTTGCTTATGATTAATGATTTAATTTATTTCAACGTCCCTAGAAAATAATGACAATAAAATAATATATGGACAACAGTTATATAGTGACACCGCTATAATTTTCTGATCAATAAAAAATATTATACAGCATAACGACACTTGTACTTGACTTTTCTTGTAACAACTCGTATGCATGTCTTAACATTAATCTATGTAGGTCACTAAACATAACATAATATCAAATTATACGGGTTTACATTAGTTTAAAAAATATCTAGTCTTCTTTATTTACATATTTTAATTGTAAAGCAATATTGTTATTTTCGCATACAAACGAATTGGTTCTAACCTAAACATGACAATATGAATTAGCACCATTATACTAGCTGGTTTGTCTGGAACGGAAATTGCATCTGCATCCACTTAGATTTTTTTAAAAATTATCATCCCACCTATTACATTGTGAAAAAATGGTTGGTAGTCTTTTTGTAAACATTTCAAAACATTATGTAAGCTTAAAACAAATAAAGCAAATCATTTTACACATTATTTGAGGCTTAATAAAATGTACTTATTCTTATTCACTTGTTATCAAACACTAGTATCTAACTTAAACGACGGACGAAATAAGTCAATCATAATTGACTGTCTCCAATTGCCTAGTCAAATGCTGTTTGTATTATTCAAGTGCGTTTGCTCATATCGTTGATAACTGAATTTAGTCTGTGAGACTTATAATCGACTATATTTGTATGCCTCCTTATGTCCAGCGATAGCTGAAAAGAATATAGTTGTTACAATACACAAAAATTGTTGTGTTCACGCAATCAAAGCGTAATTGTTACCACTAATTTGGCATTATAATATTTAACTTTTCACAGCCAATAAGGTAATAATGATTATTTTTTTTGAACATTAAATTTGTTTTTGTCATGGGCGTTTTTACCAATGGTATGGTGCGAATCACTCAGTGCATTTCTTAGAACAAACGTTTGTCTTGATATTTCTCTAATGTAGTATAAAACCAATAAATAATATTAGGCTGATTGTTGTCAAACATTACAAGATAAGTCTTATTGTAAGATTTGTCTTGGGTTAGTATTATAAAATAAAAGTTATGTATTTAAAATGTAGTTTTTAACCACATTTTATTATAATATACTACGTTTGAAAAAGTTTTGTTTCACATAGGAACACCATACCAGACAATTAGCAGGCTGATATTTAGACATTTCTTTCGGTTTTAAACCATTGCATACTAGTCTTTGAAGTAAGGAGCACCAGATACTAATTTTTTTAAATTTCATTCGAATTTTAAAAAAAATATGTTCTTTAAGCAAGAAGCACACTCGCTTTTTTAGTAGGACGTTTAATTTAATACCACTAAGAATGGTCTTGAGTTAATAATTATAAAAGATTAGATGTGTATTAAAAAAGAAGTATTTAACAGAAGTTTTTTTATTCTCTAAAATACAATTTTAACATTTATTGTATTTTGTCTATGGATTAAACAGTAAATTACTATTTAGAAATTTTAGCTTGCATCATAACAATGGTTCTAATAATAATTATTAATTTCTATAATTATAATTTATATATAACATATTTTAGTTTTCTTATTTTTAACCAAAACAGTAACATGAAAACTCATCAACGCTTGCACACTAGTGAGACACCACACAAATGTAGTGTCTTTGCAAAATCTTTTTTTTTTTAAATGTAATGTCTGCAAGAAAAGTTTTCACCATAGAACTTACCCGGAATCACAATAAGTTATTTACAC